CTGAATGCAACAATCAAAAGACACAGAGTTACAGAATGGATAAAAAAACAAGACCCATCCATATGCTGCTACAAGACTCACTTCAAACCCAAAGACATACACAGACTAATAGTGAAGGGATGGAAATAGATATTTCATGCAAACAATAGAGAGAAAAAAGCAGGTGTTGTATCAGAGAAAATAGTTTTCAAAACAAAGAAAGTAACAAAAGACAAAGAAGGACTTTACATAATGATAAAGGGGTCAGTCCAACAAGAGGATATAACCATTATAAATATATGTGCACCCAATACAGGAGCACCTACATATGTGACACAAATACTAACAGAATTAAAGGAGGAAACAGAATGCAATACATTCATTTTAGGAGACGTCAACACTCCACTCACTCGAAAGGACAGATCGACCAGACAGAAAATAAGTAAAGACACAGAGGCACTGAACAACATATTAGAACAGATGGACCTAACACATTACAGAACTCTCCACCGAAAAGCAGCATAATACACATTCTTTTCAAGAGCACATGGAACATTCTCAAGAATAAACCACATACTAGGCCACAAAGAGAACCTCAGTAAAATTAAAAAAGATTTAAATTATACCAACCAGCTTCTTAGATCACAGATGTATGAAACGAGAAATTGCACAAAGAAAATAAAAAGGCTCACAAACACATGGAGACTTACCAAGTTCCTAAATAATCAATGGATCATGACCAAATTAAAACAGACATCAAGTAATATATGGAGACAAATGAAAACAACAGCACAACGCCCCAACTTCTGTGGAACACAGTGAAGGTAGTCCCCTAAAAGGAAAGTATATAGCAATCCAGTCCTACTTAAAGAAGGAAGAACAATCCCAAATGAATAGTGTAAATTCACAATTACTGAAAATGGAAAAAGAAGAACAAATGAGGCTCAAAGTCAGCAGAAGGAGCGACATAATAAAGATCAAAAAATAAATAAATAAAATCAAGAAGAATAAAACAATAGAAAAAAATAAATGAAACCAAGAGCCAGTTCTCTAAGAAAATAAACAAAAAAGATAAACCCCTAGCCAGACTTATTAACAGAAAAAGAGAATCTACACACATAAACAGAATCAGAAATGAGAAAGGAAAAATCATGACGGACACCACAAAATACAAAGAATTATTAGAGAATACTATGAAACTCTGTATCTAACAAACTGGATAACCTAGAAGAAATGGGCAACTTTCAAGAAAAATACAACCTTCCAAGACTGACCCAGGAAGAAACAGAAAATCTGAACAGACCAATTACCAGCAATGAAATTGAATCGGTAATCAAACCCAAGAACAAATCCCCTGTAAGAGATGGCTTCACCGCTGAATTTTATCAGACATTTAGAGAAGACATAATACCCATTCTCCTTAAAGTTTTCCAAAAAATAGAAGAGGAGGAAATACTTCCAAACTCATTCTATGAAGTCAGCATCACTCTAATACCAAAACCAGGCAAAGACACCACAAAAAAGAAAATTACAGACCAATATCCCTGATAAACATAAATGCAAAAATACTCAACAAAATATTAGCTAACCAAATTCAAAAATACATCAAGAGGATCATACATTATGATCAAGTGGGATTCATCCCAGGGATGCAAGGATGGTACAATATTCGAAAATCCATCAACATCATCCACTATACCAATAAAAAGGATAAAATCACATGATCATCTAAACAGACACTGAAAAAGCATTTGACAAAATTCAACACCCATTGATGATAAAAACTCTCAACAAAATGGGTATAAGAACAAGTACCTCAACATAATAAAGGCCGTATATGATAAACCCACAGCCAACATCATACTTAACAGCGAGAAGCTGAAAGCTTTTCCTTTAAGATCGGGAACAAGACAAGGATGCCCACTTTCCCCACTTCTATTGAACATAGTACCAGAGGTCCTAGCCACGGCAATCAGACAACACAAAGAAATAAAAGGCATCCAGATTGGCAAGGAAGAACTTAAACGGTCCCTGTTTGTAGATTACATGATATCGTACATAAAAAACCCTAAAGAATCCACTCCTAAACTACTAGAACTAATACCTGAGTTAAGCAAAGTTGTAGAATACAAACTTAATGCACAGAAATCTGTTCCATTCCTATACACTAACGATGAACTAGCAGAAAGAGAAATCAGGAAAACAATTCCATTCACAATTTCATCAAAAAGAATAAAATACCTAGGAATAAACTTAACCAAGGAAGTGAAAGATCTATACCCTGAAAACTATAAGACACTCTTGAGAGAAATTAAAGAGGACTCTAATAAATGGAAATTCATCCCATGCTCTTGGGTAGGAAGAATTAATATTGTCAAAATGGCCATCCTGCCTAAAGTAATCTACAGATTCAATGCAATTCCTATCAAAATACTGACAGCATTCTTCAATGAACTGGAACAAATAGTTCTAAAATTCATATGGAACCACAGAAGACCCTGAAGAGCCAAAGCAATCCTGAGAAGGAAGAATAAAGCTGGGGGGATTACTCTCCCCAACTTCAAGCTGTACTACAAAGCCACAGTAATCAAGACAATTTGGTATGGGCACAAGAACAGACCCACAGATGAGTGGAACAGAAGAGAGAGTCCAGATATTAACCCAAGCATATTTGGTAAATTAATATATGATAAAGGAGCCATGGATATACAATGGGGAAATGGCAGCCTATTCAACAACTGGTGTTGGCAAAACTGGACAGTTACATGTAAGAGAATGAAACTGGATCACTGTCTAACCCCATACACAAAAGTAAATTCGAAATGGATCAAAGATCTGAATGTAAGTCATGAAACCATAACACTCTTAGAAGAAAACATAAGCAAAACTCTCAAATACAAACATGAGCAACTTTTTCATGAACATATCTTCCTGGGCAAGGGAAACAAAAGCAAAAATGAAGCAGGACTATATCAAACTAAAAAGCTTCTGTACAGCAAAGGACACCAACAGCAGAACAAAAAGGCATCCAACAGTATGGGAGGATATATGTGTAAATGACAAGAGGTTAATGTGTAATAATTACACATATCCGACAAGAGGTTAACATCCAAAATATATAAAAAGCTCACGTGCCTCAACAACCAAAAAGCAAATAACCTGACAAAAAATGGGCATAGGATACGAACAGACACCTCTCCAAGGAAGAAATTCAGATGGCCAACAGGCACATGAAAAGATGCTCCACATCACTAATCATCAGAGAAATGCAAATTAAAACCACAATGAGATATCACCTCACACCAGTAAGGATCCCCACCATCCAAAAGACAAACAACAACAAATGTTGGCGAGGTTGTGGAGAAAGGGGAACCCTCCTGCACTGCTGGTGGGAATGTAAATTAGTTTAACCATTGTGGAAAGCAGTATGGAGGTCTCTCAAAAAACTTAAAATAGAAATACCATTTGACCCAGGAATTCCACTCCTAGGAATTTACCCTAAAATACAGGATCCCAGATTCAAAAAGACATATGCACCCCTATGTTTATCACAGCACTATTTACAATAGCCAAGGAATGGAATCAACTTAAGTGTCTATCAGTAGATGAATGGATAAAGAAGAGGTGGTACATATACACAATGGAATATTATTCAGCCATAAGAGGAAAACAAATCCTACCATTCGCAACAACATGGATGGAGCTAGAGGGTATTATGCTCAGTGAAATAAGCCAGGTGGAGAAAGATAAGTACCAAATGACTACACTCATCTGTGGAGTATAACAACAAAGCAAAAACTGAAGGAACAAAACAGCAGCAGACTCACAGAACCCAAGAATGGACTAATAGTTACCAAAGGGAAAGGGACCTGGGAGGATGAGTGAGAAGGGACGGATAAAGGGATTAAGGGACATTATGATCAGCACACATAATGTAGGGGGGACACGGGGAAGGGAGTATAGCACAGAGAAGACAAGTAGTGACTCTATAGCATCTTACTATGCTGATGGACAGTGACTGTAATGGGGTATGGGGTGGGGACTTGATAATGGGGGGAATCTAGTAACCACAATATTGCTCGTGTGACTGTATATTAACGATACCAGAAAAAAATATATATGATACATTTAAATCAGCAGTTTATGTTGGAAAACACATTATAGAGTCAACAATAAATATACTTGTGAAAATGTGAAAAAAAAATACTTCCTAATAAAGAAACACAAAAGAAAAACTGGATAAAGGAATAGAAAACCCAAATGCCCAAGAAACTCACAAAAAGATGTCTCCCTTCCTTAGTAAACAAGGAAATGCAACATAAAATTCCAATGGCATACCACTTAACATCCACCAGTTTGGGAAAAATTTCAAAAATTTCAATAGAAGTAAGTACTAGTAAGGAAAAGGAACGGCAGACCTACGTACTGTCACTGGAAGGGTAAAATACAAAACCACCTTTGAAAGCAGTAAGGCAACATCTAATACATCAGAAGATGTGTATCATTCCCCTATAATCCAACATTACCATTCCTAGATAAACAGCCTACCAAAAACAATGCATATTCAACCCAAATGTACCCTGCAGAATGGACTCCATGGTAGATTTTTATACTGGACAAATATGTAACAATGAAATTAAATAACCCACATATGACAACCTTTCATAACACTGATAAATTTCACAAATAATATGAGGAAAAAGGCAAGTGAAAAGAATATATATAGTATTAATCCATTTACATAAATTTCAGACAGGCAAAATCGAACTGTACAGTAAGATTCTGAGAGGCAAACTTAACTGCAACTCTATTTGACAAATTATGGCTTTTTGATGATACCCATGAGACTTAAGGTATGAGGTTAAGTTTTCTATGTCGTTACAGTGAATACTTTACACACGCACACACACACGGTGAGGGGGCAGTTTCAGTGGCAGTTTATTCATTCTTGCACTGGGTCTCCCCTCACCACCACCACATCAAAGCTTTTAATCAAAAGAGTATTAAGTGTATATCCCTACCTCCTCTTGTGGAGGTTTAGATGCAACAAAGCGTGTTCTCTCTCGTCTCATCTTGCCGCCTCCACTACCTACTCCAGAAGATAAACCATTGGCTGCAGACATACTGAAATTTGGGTAAGAAAAGCCACTAGGCGAAGAAAAAGAAAATTAAAAGAAAATTAAAACTATGGTCCATAACTTTGTAACTAACTGAATACCTAAAAATTAGAACTAACAAGAAAATATACAGCTGAATGTGATTTTAGAAGATTTTAGAAGAACACAGAGAATTTATGTGTTTGTAAAGTTTCTATTTGTAACCTTCTGAATCTTAAAAAGGCATTAAGTATTACATACAGACCTTACAAATTACATATAAAGAGGCTTAGCTAAAGCTGACATTACCTTTCTTGTTCTATATTTCGTACTGGTGTCATATTTTTTTCATATCCAGCCTAGAAAACATGAACACACCATATTTACAACTATTTATTTATTATAACAATGTACTTTCTACTATTCTTTCAACTTTCCTTTGAAATGTTTCAAGAAATTGGGTTTTTAATGAAGATCAAATGAAATTCAATGTAAGTAAAGCACAAACAGTAAGATGCTATAATATAAACAAAAATTATGCTGCATGAAATAAGTCAGTCACAGAGGGCCACATCTATATGAAATGTCCTGCATGAGCAACTGTATACAGACAGATCGCGGTGGCCCAGGGTGCAGAGGTAGGAGTGGGGAGTGACTACTAATGGGGGTGGGATTTTTTAGGGGTGGGAGAATGGTGATAAAAATGATCTAAAATTGACTGCAGTGATGGCTAAACAACTCTGAGTATACTAAGACCACTGAACTGTACACTGTAAATGGCTCAATGAAATGTTATATGAATTATATCTGAATGAAGCAGTTATTTGAAAACAAAATGTGGTGAGGGTGAAGATACGAGTTCTAGAAGACAAAACAAAAAGCAATGTGTGAAAGTTGCTTCATTCTGGTTCAAGAATCAGCTAAAACAACATTTGAATATGGACTAGATATTAGATAATATTAAGAAGGGATTAATATTAATTTCCTTAAATGTGATAATATAGAAGCAAGTACTTTAGGAAATGCATGTCAAAGTACTTATTAGGAGTAAACAGATGTGTCTAAAGCTCATTTTCATAGTTCACCACAACCAAAAAACACACTGAGATAAAGGAAGTCCGGCAAATTTATTTAACCTAAACCATGAGGGTATTTCAGTGTCACTAATAAACACTAATTAAAGATTTAATCAAGGTGCCTGCCATTTTAAAGGCATACCAATTCTTAACCATCACTAATACACAGAAGTCATGCATTTAGTTGCTAGACTGCAATGGTATTTATACCTTATTCTTCTTTATTTTAATCAATATCCAAAGACTAGTGAAAATAAACACATACTCACACTGTGCTTTTTATCTATTCTCTGATTAGTCTTCCTTAATTCACCAGATGGAGTTAGAGATGGTTTAAAATAAACAGTCCGATTTGTTGCTATGGAAACTGGCTTTGGGGTCATGAGTCTCTGAACAGGGGGATACTGAGAGTCCACCTTACAGGTAAACAGAAATCAAAGATAATTTTTATTTTCATATATAGCAGCATCACATATCTAAAAAGGATTTGACAATAGCTACTGTGACCTATAGCTTATTGAGTATTTCCCAGAGAAATACCCAACGGATGCAAAAAATAGTAAAAGGAAAAAGTGTTAATATAAACCAAGAACATATATATTTACTTATATGTATGATTATATATTTACTTATATATATGATTCTGAAATGGTTTCAAGACCATTTTTAATTTTAATTCAAGACCATTTAATATTTTACTCTATAATTAGTGACTTCACACACACATGCACACATGCAAAATGGGAACTATATTCAAAAGCCCTCCATAAATCCAAAATTTTATGGGAGAATTTCAAATGTACGAACTAAAACTGATTTTGTCACATTTTCCCCAAATTACTATCTGAATATTCTTCACTGTAAATACGTTTTTAAACTAGCTATGAAAATATCTTAATTGCTAAAAATGTGAACAAATCTCTCTACAGGTTAATTTTCCTGTAGTGTTATTTAAAAACCAAACCAAACTCTTATAATTTATATCTAATTTGTAAAACTCTGTTAAGAATTGCAAATGTTAAAATGTACTGGATTCATTATCTAAGTACACAAGTGTTTTGTCAATGGTCTTGCTACACTGAAACACAGTAAAAATCCTGCTGCTATAAGATGTCTAGGGAGCAAGAGCTTCTTCTCTGTCCAAAGAGTCTGATACCAAGAACACAGTCCCTTCCAGCAGCAGCCGTGAACGACACTGGCTTCCCAGGCAAGGCCACTGTTTGGTCACTAGCTCTTCCCTGAATCCTCATCACAAGTGTGAGCCTACAGTCCAACGAGACAGCTTATTTTACAGACTATTCTGATTACATACAGAACTACAACATTGTATTCTGGCCTTTGTATTTCCTAACATCCATAAATAAAACTGTACTGATACTACACTCAAGCAATGACAAAATTTTTAATGATGAGAACATACACTATAGCACAATTTTAAAAACTGACTTCTTTTTAAATAATCTATTATAAAACAGGAGTCTGAAAAGAGCAGCTAACAGCTTTAAATTAATTCCATCACAACAGCTAAAATCCCATCCCTTTTGCCTAATTAGAAACATCTACAAAGTTCTAAAAATTGAGAAGAAAAACTATCCCAAGAAAAAACTGTTTTATCTTTCTTCTCTATAGAATTCCAGTAAAAATAATTATAATTTTCCAGTATCTCAAATACAATCCCCACAATTAATTCAGAGAACTCTAATTTTAATCAATTATTTCTGGGGGATCATGGTGGTGTAATCAATGCCATCACAAGTAAGGATCTGCGAATCTGCTTCCTCTGAAAGACACTTATCTAGCCACAAATAGACCTCTTTAATACTATCACGCATTTTATTTTTTCCAAAGTAACCTCTAAAGCAAATTTTAACAAAATAGGATACCCTAAAAAGGATTATCAAGATATAATCTATGTTATATTTTTGTTAGCTCCTCTATCTTGGAACAGTGTTTTGGGAGATATACCTATCTGAAATTCTATTACACCCAAGAGATCTGACGCAATGTTTGTTAATGAGGAAAAGATGACTATGCTGAGTTAAGGGCTTTAGCTCACCTAATTTCTCGTAACTAAACACTTCAAGCTCTGTTCACCCCTATTTTTATTGATGAAAAAGAGTCATTCATAAAGACTGCCATCATGCTGAAGATTGAAAATGCCGAGTAATGAAAAACACTGAGCATTTACTACACATATAGCATTGTGCTAAATAAGTTAAGGCCCTCACAAGAGGTTACAAAGTCCAAGCTAAAACAACTTCTTTTTTAAACATGTTCCCTAACAAGTATCAACTAAATTCAATTTGTGTATTTGTTAACTTAAAAATAAAATCAACAAACCCACTGATGCTTTAAATAAATAAATGTCAAAGAAGTCTTACCTTTTCCCTTTTGGCTTGAAAATCCATGGTGATACCTAGCCCACTACTATCAAAAGGCTGAAAAAATAAAATACTATTTAGAATAGATGGGAAACACTGAAACTCTGAAAAATATGATTCTCATCACCAATATATAAAAATGTATCTCTTAAAACAGGTTTAAAGTCAACTTACAGAAATCAGGGGAGAAGAAACAATAGATGGGATTCTTTTTGCATCCTGTTAATGTTGAAATAATAACAAAATTAACATTTTTCAACTAAACTTAAATTTTGTTGTGCTTCTGCATTTAATTCATTGAAAATTTTACCTCTAGAGGGCTTGACATCTTTTCTAAAGACTGCAATATTCGCCGAGCTGTTGAACTAGTCACACCATAGGATTGTGCACTGAGTTGCTTAGCTTTCATCTGTCTTCTAACTGGTGCCTATAAAGAAAACCTTGTATTATTTTTTAGCATTGTAAACTATAAAGCACATTCAGGCAGCAAAAATATTTACAAAATAGAAAGGATATCCAAAGTGATATAGGTTTAATGTGTTAACAAGCAACTTATGTCTAAGTGGTATCATTAAGCATATGCTCAACTTTCTTTCATTACGACTTTATTGAAAATCTAATTACTTTTACTCTTGGAAAAAAAATGGTGAGATGGCATGCACCACTCTGAAGACTGGCGAGCTACATCAGAAGGGAAAAATGAAATCACTGAAAAAGTTACAGGATCACCTTGATCCGTTTACCCCTGATACTTGAATGAAAGAACACCAATTTAATGAGAATTCTATTAAAATATTAGTCATTCTGGGTATTAAGTAATACTCAATTGTAGTAAATTCCAAGATAACTAAATGAAGAGACTGTACACTAATGCAATGGAAACTCAAAATTTTAAACTGATACGTTTATCAAATTTTAATACAAAAAAAAAATTTTAAGTACTCAGGCTATTTCTTATAAATAATTTTTTAACTTTCTTAAAATTGGAGTTAAGGGAAAAGCCTTATAAAAAAATAGACAAGCACTCTTTAATGCACAAGCCATGTTCACAAATTCCGATCGAACACTTCCTCTTCTCAAGAATGCATCACAGCATTCCGCTAATCAAGTGACCACCACAAAACAGAAACAGTCTGGCAATGCTTGATACAAAAAAAGACATAATCTCAGTCAAAATAACAAAACGGTTTCTACTACTTTAAATAAAATTTCTCTGATAACAAGCATTCATTGTATTTTCAGACTAGCTGCAATATTCTACATGAATTTTATTAAAAACTTGGTGCCCATTAAGGATTTTGCTTTCCGAGGCGTCTTTGGCAAACATGAGGCAACATTAAAATATTAAAACCCTGGCGGAAAACATGACAGTCTGTCCTGTCACCAGATGCTACTGGCCACTGGCCTCTCAGGTCCTCAATTTATGTAATTAGAAAAACGGAACTGAAACAGAGAATCTTTAATATACTTCCCAGCCTTGACACTCTAGGAAAGTACTAACAAACAGACTCATCCCACGTGTCAATGATAAATATTTGGAAGCCTGTGCTGAGGGCTCTAAGGGTAGGTCCCGATGCGGCATTAAGAAGCTTAGGGTTCGATGTGTAAGAAACAGAGGAGGAAGCAGCAGGAATCTGACCCGGACTATCCATGAATCACAGCATTGCTTCATCTAATCTTCTAATAACATGCTGAACTATTTTAATGATAAATAGAACTTTAAAAATAAAGTAGTATCATCCAGTTTAAGCTTTAGAAAGAGTCCCCTAGGTAACTCCAATACCCAATTAACACTCCTTTAAATAACAGAATATTGCCCTTCATGAACACATCCAGAAATAAGACTCATAATGTGGAAACATCCGCTAATTAGGAAAGTGAGAAACTAAAGACAAGACAGTATCTTCAAATGTTATTTTTCTGTTTGTAGGCCATTTCTATGTATGTCATGGATTATCATCTTTACAAATTCCCCTCTCCAAAACCCTACAACCTGAAAATATTATTACTCCTCCATCTTTAAAATGTAAAAATCTGTAATGGCAGCAACATAACAACATACACGTGAAATATAATTTTTATGAATCTCAAGAAACAGGTCAAAACACATAATGGCACAAGTTACCTTAAGTGACATTTCTACACAAGTTATCAATTACCAACTGCTCTCTGCTAGTGTACCATATAAATTCCGCTGATTTTGTATACTGACCTTGTATTTTCACAACCTTGCTAAACTCACCTAGAAGTTCTGATAATTTTTCTTGGACTTTCTTGGGATTTCCTATGGAGATAAGCGCACTATCTATAAAAAGGAACAACGCTACTTCTTCCTTTCCACACTGCACGCCTTGTATTTGTTTTTTCTCGCACTGGCTGGGACCTGCAGTGCCACACTGACCAGGAGCATGGACAGCAGACATCCTTGTTCTCTTCCTATTGTGGGAGGAAAAGTAGTCTTTCACCATTAGTATGATGTTAGGCTAATGGAAGATTTTTCTGTAGATAAAATTTGTCAAGTTCAGGAGGTTCCCATTTGTTCCTAGGCATGTCGAAAATTTTTATCACAAATGGATGTTAGATTTGTCAGATGTGTTTTATGCATTAGTGGAGATATTCGTACTTTTTATTCATTAGTTTGTTTACCAGGTACATCAATTTCTGACTGTTTAACTAGCCTTGCATTCCCAGGATAAACTCCCCTTGACAATGATGTAGTATCCTTTTTTATATATGCTGGATTCAATTTGCAAATATTTGTAGAGAAAGTTTGGTCTACAATTTATGAAAAATATTGGTCTGTAGCTTTTTTGTAATGTCTTCATCTGGTTTTAGTACAAGGTAATGCTGACCTTATAAATGTGTTGGGCTCTCCTATTAAATGGAAACGTTTGTGTAGATATGGTATTCTTTCTTAAATGTTTGGTGGAATTCACCAAGGAAGTTTTCTAGGTCTGAAGTTTTATTTGCTGGAAAATATTTTAACCATGAATTCCATGTATTGAACAGACATGGAATTTAGACTATTTACTGTTGGCTAATACCAAAATATGAAATACTTAGGTAGAACTCTAACAAACTAGGTACAAAGTCTATGTAATGAATACTGTAAAACATTGATGAAAGAAATCGTAAAAGATTTAATAAATGGAGAGACACACTATGTTCACGGGTTGGAAGACTCAATTTTATTAAGACATATTCTCCCCAAACTCATCTTTAGACTCACACAATCGCAATCAAAATTCCAGTAGACTTTGTGGAAACTGATAGGATGATTCTAAATTACTAAAAAGCAAAGAACTTAGGAAAGCCAAAGCAAGCCTGAAAAAGGACAAATCTGGAGGACTCACATTGCTGATTCCAAGACTTAGGTAATCAAGACAATTTAGTTGGTGAAACGACAGATACACAGATCAATGGGGAAAAATAGGAAGTCTAGAAATAGAGCCACATATATGGTCAACTGATTTTTGACAAAAGGTGCAAAGACACTTCAGTGGAAAAAGTGTAGTTTCCAACAAATGATACTAGAAAAACTGGGCATCTGTATTTTAAAAAATGGATCTTGATCCGTACCTCTTGTCACATACACAAAATAAACTCAAAATGAATCACAGGCCTAAATTAAAGCCTAAAACTATATATAAAGTTTCTGGAAGAAAACAGGAGAAAATCTGTGTGACCTTGGGTTAGGCAAAAAGGTCTTTTATAACTCATGTCTACACCAAAAACATGAGCTATAAAAGGCAAAAAAACCCTAATATATTGAATTAATCAAAGCAAAACCTTCTCTTCAAAACACATTGTTAAGACAAGCCAGAGAATGGGAAAAAATATTTACGAAACACATGTCTAATAAAGGACTTATATCCTGAGTAAGGAACTTTGAACAAACAATAAAACAACCTTACTTAAAAAATGGGGAAAAGATTTCATTAAAGAAAACATTGCTGGCAAATAAGCACATGAAAAAATGCTTAATAACATTTCAAGTTCAGGTAAATAAAACACACAGCAAGTTGGAGTTACCACTACATGCCTATTAGAATGGCTTTTAATAACAACAAAAGAAACTGATGACAAGTACTGGCGGGAGCACACCTACATTATCGGTGAGAATGCAAAGCTGTACTAGCCACTAAAAAGAGTTTGGCAGTGTATTAAAAAGCCTAAGAATACTTACTATGCGACCCAGCAGTCCGACTTCTAGGAATTTACCCAAAAGAAATGAATTTATCATGTTCACACAAAATGTTCGCAGCAGCTTTATTCACAATTGCCCAAAATTATAATAACTCAAGTGTCCTCTCACTGGTGAATGGGTAAACAAACTATTACATAATGGCAATAAAAATGAACTACTGATATATGGAAATTATAGATAATCTCAAGTGCATTATGTGAAGTAGAGTAAGTCAGATTCAAAAGGCTATATACTATATGGTTAAATTTATATATTCTGGAAAAGCCACATCTACAGGGAAAGAAACCACATGCGTGGTCGCCAGAGGGTGGAAGAAGGAAGAGGGGCTGACTACAGAGCTGCACAAAGTTACATTTTGGGATGAGGGAAATGTTTCTTCATTATTTTGGTTGCAGAAGTGGTTACACAACTGTATGTGCTTTGTTAAAATTTAAATACTCTAATAAAGGTAAATTTTACTACATGTAATTTATACCACCATTTTTAAAACAAGGAATTAATCAACACTTTCTAAAAAACACACACAAGTAATATAAAATGTTCACTTAAGCTCTAAGATGTTCATACAGTCCCTAAATGAAAAGGCTGTTCATAATCCACAGTTCTATAATTTACCAAAGAACAGCTGAACCAGAGCTCTATTACTTCATTTAAAGAAAGCTACCAAACCTTCCCCTATTCACACCAACCTGATACGGCGTGTTTCGTGGTTGAGACTGTCTTACGGCAGCTGCTGCCCCACCGTATGCTGTTTTTCCAGGATAAAAAGGAGAATCTCCAAGCTGACTTGTTTTAAGGATTGAAGGGTTCCCAAGTGACTGCACAGAAACATGATGATAAATTATAAACAATAAAAACTCAAAACTAAAGTTATTAAATCAAATCCAAGCAGTACTCACAGGGGAAGGTGTTCCAAAGGCAGATAAGCTGAATGCTGGTTTTTTTAAGCTGGTGGCAGTGTGCTGTGAGAGTGAATGAGAACGTTCAGCCTCTGGGTACCACAGGGGTGGCACTGAAGTGTTCTTTGAAACAGCTATATCTGAAACAAAAATATGTAGTGTGTAGTAACAGCATTAATTAGGAAGTGAGAATTACAACTAAGAAAAAATTATCCCATCAAATTCAATTTTACTACCAAAATTATATACCACCTATGCCAAGAATACCTTTATCAGAAGCTCTTGAAGAGAAACCACTGGTAGTTGAGATGTTATCATCATCATGCTGAGAGGTAGAATCTTTAATTTCCTTTACAAGGGAAAATCCAGAACTGCCAATTGGGAATGCCGAGGATGTGGAGGGCTGACAGCGTAATGCAGGAGATTCCAACACAGAGAAAGTCATATGGCTCCGATGGAGAGAAGGCCTTGTAAGTACGTCTGGATAATTTGAAGCAGTACTAGTTGTTGACGGTTCTTAAACAAACAAGCAAAAAACATTACTGTTTGAATATACAACTTAGAAAAAGCAATACATCATCACAACAAAATGATGTTCAAGAGAACAGACCATATAACAAATACAGCTTCAATTCAAATCACTGAGGACTCCCATGATAAATCCAATTTAAGATATTCTTTAGCCAAGTAAGATCTCAACTAACAGAAATTAATTTACTTAACCTAGTATCAGAAATATTTCAGTGATCACATACAACTTCCAAAACTGCATGGTTCTTGATTTTCTTTGAATTGGTATTATAAAACCTGCTCACAAAACATAAAATTAAAAAAAATCCATATAAGAAAATCATAAAACAGGAAGGATAAGTCTGTCCCTCCAGAAATAACCACTGTTAAACCTGTATATCCTCCCAGATATTTTATATGCATACACAAACTCATTGTTACTAATCACATAATCATGCTATGTGTTTTGTTCTGTGACTTGCTTTTTCATTTACTAATATAATGTCTCTACATACAGAGCTTTCCGTTTAAAGACCACACTGTATGTTATCATACCAATTTCCAGTAATTTTTTATGTGATTATTTTCCCAGTACTCCAACAAACATACATGCACTTACACCTACATACTCACTACACTTCCATAAATAGCAACTGACAATGTACATTTCCCCCATACTCTCCAACCCTGGATATTATAACCTTTTCTGATTTCTGTCATCTAGTATGGCATCATTATTTTATTTGCATCCATTTAAATGAAAGGGAAAATGAGCACCCTGCCCTACATTCGTTGGTAGTTGTGTTAATTGCTTACTGCTGTAGTTTCTTACTAACAATATTAAGATTTAATTTTTTTGATCAGTAAGATCAGTGTGAAATGATCTGAAATATTAAAACCAATTTTTCACCATTGGTTAAACCCATTCATTTGTTTGACTATGTCTTTTATAAAACAGAATAACTTGTACTTTATTTAAAGACTTTTACCATTCCAAGACTATATAAAATAAAAATTTTTACTCATTTCTTTTTCTTCTTTTGGTACTGTTGCTTTTATTTCAATATAACATTTAATCTTAACTCCATCTGTATAAACAGTTACCATGCAGCAGTGAAGGAATGATTCAGCTTCACAATGTTTTCCAAATGATTACTTAGATAAGCCATCTTTAACTCACTGACTGAAAAATCACCATTACCACATACTAAATTCCAAGAGGCTTTTTCTCTCCTTTACCCAATGTGTATTGCTGTACCAGTACCATAATGTTTTCAATACTATAAATATACATACACATATATGTATGTATGTAGAGAGAGAGTATATATATATGTCGTATGTAATATATATTAAATACTATGATTAGCACACATAACATGGGGGGGTCACGGGAAAGGCAGTATAGCACAGAGGAGACAAGTAGTGACTATACAGCATCTTACTAGGCTGACTGACAGTGACTGTAACGGGGTATGTGGTGGGGATTTGATAATGGGGGAATCTAGTAACCACAATGTTGCTCATGTGATTGTATATTAATGATACCAAAATAAAATTAATATATATGTATGTGTGTGTATATATTTTTTAAATACTGTATGTAGAATATATATTAAATACTATACATACATATATCTTTAGAACACATTTAATGACTATACAAGTCCAATCACAATTTCCTTATTTTCAGGATTTCTCTATTCATTTTCAGGAATATTTTCAAGAACTTTAGATAACCACTCATCAAGTTTACAAAAGACTCTTCCAGACTAGCCCTTCTACTATAAATAACTATAAAACATCTAAGGCAACAGCTTTCAGACAAGAGAAAACAGCACAAGAAAACTCATACAGCGAGCCTGATCACTACTCAGCTGTGTCCAGGAACGGTTTCGGACCGTGCACAGAAAGCTGGAATCAAAGCAAAACACAGCAGGCAGAAATCAGGATGAGGGGCACTGAAGTATAAAGCAGTGCAGGGAGAGCCCTCCCGAAGTCGCCATGGGACTGTCCAGAGACTCAATTGGAAAAGAACAAGTAAAATAAGCTCAATTCATAGATGATACATTACATATGTAGAAATCCATAAAAACATCATTAAAAAAATTAAAAACCCTGTTAGGATAAATAAATTCAGCAAAGCAGTAGGATACAAAAATCAACATTCAAAAATGAGTTTGTTTCTACACACTAATAATGAACAATCTGAAAAGTAAATTAAGAAAATGATTACATTAACAATAGCATCAAATATGAAATACTCAGGAATTTTAAGCAAGGTGGTGGAAGGCTTGCACAATAAAAACTATAAAATACAAAATACTGCTGAAAAAAATGGAAGAAGACAGTCTAAAGACTGGAAGACCTAATATCATTCACATGTCCATACTACCCAAAGCAATCTACAGATTCAATGCAATCCCTTTCAAAAACCCAGTGACATTTTTTGAAAAAATACAAAAATCCATCCTAAAATTCTTACAGAATCTCAAGGGACTCCTAATAGCTAAAGTAATATTGAAAAAGAATAACAACATCAGAGGTCTCATACTTCCTGGTTTCAAAACTTCTTACAAAATAGTAATCAAAACTGTGTTGTACTGGCATAAGGACAGACATAGAGACCAATGGAACAGACAGATGACCCAGAAATACAGCCTTGCATTTTATGGTCATATTATCTTACACAAGACCACTCAATGAGGAAATGACAGTCTCTTCAACAAACAGTTTTGGGGAAACTGGATATCCAGGTAGAAAAGAAATGAAATTGTACCCTTATCTACTACCATATACAAAAAGTAACTCAAAATGTGGTTCAAAGACCTAAACATAAGACCCAAAACCATAAAACTACTACAAGAAAACAGAAGGGAAAAGCTTCACGACATTCATCTTGACAATGATTTCTTGAACATGACAGGCAACAAAAACAAATCTATGGGACTATATCAAACTTAAAAACTTCTGTGCTCTAGAAGACACAGTCAAGAGAATAAAAAGGCAACTTACAGGATGATAGAAACTATTTGCAAATCATATACACGGTAAGTTAGTATCCAGAATATATGAAGAATTCCTACAACCCAACAACAAAATCTAATAACCTGATCAAAACTTGGGCAAAAGGTATCTCACCAAAGATGATATGCAAATGGCCAATAAACATACAAAAAGATGCTCAGCATCATTAATCATCAGAGAAGTGCAAATCAAAACCTTCACACCCACTAAGATGGCTACTATCAGAAAAACAGAAAATAAATGTTGATGAGAATGTGTAGAAAGTGGAACTCTTATGCACTCGTGGTAGGATATGTAAAATGGTGGAGCCACTGTAGAAACAGTATAGTGGTTTCTCAAAAAGTTTAAAATAGTTACTATATGATCCAGTAATTCCTCTTTTGGGTATATACCCAAAGAACTGAAATCAGGGTCTCAGAGATTTGTACAACCATGTTCCTAATAGCATTATTTGTAATAGCCAAAAGGTGGATGCAACATAAGTGTCCATCAACAAATGAATGGATCAATGTGCTATACACACAATAGAATGTAAGGTCTCAGAAAGAAAGTAAATTCTGATGTAAGCTTCAATGTGGATGAACCTCAAAGACATTATGCTAAGTAAAATAAGCCAGTCACAAAAGGACAAATACTGTATGAGTCTACTCATATGAGGTACTTAAAATAGCCAAGTAATACAGAAAGAAAGGAAAATACTGTCTGCCAGGGGCTGGGGGGGACAAGAGAAATGGAGGGTTAGTTTTTAATGGGTACAGTTTCAGTTTCACAGGATGCAAAAAGTTGAGATAGATGATGGTGATGGTTGCATAACAATGTGAATGGACTTAATGCCATTTAACTAACTGTATGTACACTTACAATTATGGCTAAAATAGTAAATTGTTATGTATATTTTGTAATTCAAAAAATAATCATTTTTCAAGGCAGAGCATTAAATAAAGCAAGAGTACATACTCAATGAGGGAGTGCAGGCATGCTCCAGAGGTGAGCAGACCAAAAAAATAATTTTCGAAAAAAGCAAGGTGCATCAAGAATGGCAACAAATAATTCTTTAAAAAAAAAATTTTTTTTCTATTCATGTAAAATCCTATTTTAAAAATCCAACAGAAGACCTAAATTTCTTTTATATGTAATAATTTCTTACCAAGCTTGCACAAATTAAGATACTGGCTGGAGCTTAAAAATCTACTGGTATTGGTATTTAAACCTATAGACATTTAAACATTATAATATTTCAATTTCTCTGTAATCAATTTCTCTGTAAGAAGCTAAAATGCTTCTTACGGTATGCAGCATATCACAAAAGTGCTTTTTAGTTATCCCATTCTCTCATCCCTCTATCAGTTTATCCTATAGGATAAAAGTGATAGGACACATTTTTAGCTAAATTTTCAATTTAGCAATCTGCTAAATTTAGTACATACAGAAGCTAGAGAGGAAAATAATCTATTGTCATAAACTTCTACTTGAAGATATGCTGTTAACAGTAATGCCAGTTTTTTTGTATTTACAGAGCTTCCTTACCTCATAAACCAGGCACAATAAAGGACAGTTTGGTATTCATGTGACTAAACAAGCCCAAGTGATCTACAAATTCACATCAGTCACAAATGCCCAGTTCCTAAGAGTGCACCTACAATCACATGGGCTAAACTTCAACCCACTGTTGACTAGTGTAGTAGATATGGCATTGCGGGACCTCAAAGGCCTAAACCCTTCCTCTCAATGAAACATGTACATACATTATCTGCGGTTGTCCTCACTAATCTATTCCACTAACCGAGAAGAAACATAAGACACTCAATAGTTCCCCATCATGAAGACAGTCAAAATAAAAGGTACACAGGCAGGAAGCTGTAGACAACAGATTTTAAATGGGCCACAAGCTCTGTAACTGTTCTTACTACCCTGTGCTATTTGAAGAATGCATAAACTGTCCAGCTGTAGTTACTATTAATACAAAAGTTACACCAGTAAAATTGATATTTAGTAAACAACAGACTGTTACATCTAAATTATTTTAAGCTTTCAATAATTTGATATTACTTTAAGAACAAATATGTGTAAGTTATTTTGAGAGTTGCATTGTCAAATTTAAGGGCAATGTTTCACAGAGTAAACAAATTGAGTTCTTTGTTATATCTAGTAAGATCTATATTCATCATACTGGGGAGTCATTAGAGGTACACATTATGTGACTCCAAGTACTGAATACTTTAAGAAAGGTCAATCAAGGTAGACTATGAGAAGAAAACTAGAACTTAAAAAGTTTAAGAAGAGAGAATTCACACCTAAGGCAAAAACGAAGGGAAAAAATGCTATCCAGAATTTTAAGTTTGTATCAAAAGCTCCTCACAGACTGATGAGAATTAGGCTTGAGATGGATTAATGATTGTACATTGAGCATTGACCCCCCTATACTGAATTTTATTGTTGTTAACAACCATTTGACCAATAAATATGAGAGATGCCCTCTCAAAAAAAAAAAAGAAAAGCTCCTCACAAGTTGCTTCTAAACACCTAGGGGTGTTAGAGTGGGAAGGCAGGTGAATAGGTACGGGAACAGAGAAAAGGGATCAGCAGTGAGTTTGTTGTCTTTGAAGCTGGGTAATGGGTACTTGGGAGCATCACTGTATCCTCCTTGCTTTTGTAGTTTGAAATTTTCCGTAACAATTTAAGTTTAGAAATTGTCCACAGAAGTCTGTGTAATATACATGTAACAGAAAAGATACCTTATAAACTTAATAATAAAAATAAAATACAAGTTGAAACTGACCTTGGTAGACCACTGAATTACTTTCATTATTTCAATGAGGATACACACAAAAAATATAATTTTAAAAGTGTAAAACAAGAAACTCTCCATTGATCTCACACCTAAACTGAATTCTTGAAGTTAGTTAATCCTCACAAGCTTGCCATTAGGATGGAAAAGAGGGTTTCGGACACTGAATATATGCTGTTATACTCCAAGAATGTTTCCAAATAAATGAGAGAAACTGGGATCCCTTCAATGCCCAGAAAGAAAATAACATGGAGGTACTCAGCTCAGAGATTGAAAGCCTCAAGGCCTTTTAGTAATATATTTGGAAGAAATCTTGAAAAGTACAGATATTCAAACTTCCTAAATTAATCTAGTAAAAAAATAAGTAAGCATTCAAGACTAAGCTAAACTGACGACTACTGAGAAAACTTAGCTTTGCCATTCCTCCAGTCAGTCACTCCTTCAGGCCTGTGTCACTCTACGCAGTTTCCACCACAGCAAAGCAGGCAGGACAGTCTGTCAGGGAGCTAAGCACACCCAAGCCAACAGGCCATACACACAGCAATTCACATCCAGTGTTTAGGCAAGATGAGACAACACAGAGTTAGAAAAAATTTTCTAATTATAAGTCAAAACATACAATTAAAGCAAAAAGATATATACTCAAATGTAGACTGAGAGATAAACGGGACTTCATCAAAATGGAAAACCTTTTGTGTTTCAAAGGACATCACCAAGAAAGTAAAATGATAGCCCACAAAGTGGGAGAATATATTTGCAGATCATACACTGATTTTGAATGGGCCACAAGCTCTGTAACTGTTCTTACTACCTTGTGCTATTTGAAGAATGCATAAACTATCCAGCTGCAGTTGCTATCAATATAAAATTTATACCAGTAAAATTGATATTTTACTGATAAGGGCCTTATTTGCAGAATATTATAAAGACCTTTTTCAAATCAACTATAAAAAGACAAATAGCCCAATTAAAAATGGAATAAGGGGATTTGAACAGCCATTTCTCCAAACATATATAAATGGCCAAAAGCACATTAAGATGCTCAGTCTCATTAGTCATCACGGTAATGCAAATCAAAACCACAATGAGATACCGCTTCACATACACTAGAATAGCTGTAGTTTTTCAAAAAAGGAAAATTAGTGTTGGTGAAGGTGTGAAGAAACTGGAATCTTCATACACTGCCAGTGGAAAGATAAAATGGTATAGCCACTCTTCTGGAAAACAGTTTTTCCTCATAATGTTAAATTACCATATGATCCAGCAATTCTACTCCTAGATACCAAGAGAAAACATCCACACAAAAACTTGCAGGTGAATATTCACAGCAGCATTATTCATAAATTCAAAAAGTGGAAACAACCCAAATGTTCATCAGCTGACAAATGAATGAAAAAAATGTGGTTTTATCATCCATTTATATACCATGTGGTCTGGCAACAAAAAGAAATAAAGTTCTGATACATGCTTGACATGGATGAACCCTGAAAACATCATGCTAAGCAAAATAAGCCAGTCACAAAACACCACATATTATATGATCCCTATTCTATGATATTCCAAGTATAGGCAAATCTATAGAGACTAGGGCTGAGGGGCAGGAATGCAAGGTGACTACTAAGAGGATTTTCGGGGCTGAGGTGACAGGGCTGGAGATGAAAATGTTCTAAAACTGACTGTGGTGATAGCTGAGCCATTGTACAAACATACTAAAACCAATGAACTGTATACTTTAAATGGGTTGTTCTATGGTATGTGAAATAAATCTCAGTAAGTCGTAAAAAATGAATAAAGTGAAACAACAGAGTTATAGTCCCAAATATGTCATCTTCTTGGGTTACACCAAAGCTATTTCATATTTGTAAATCCCACCAAAATGCTATAAGTAGATTCCAAAAAGTTGAAGCTTTTAAAATGCAGTCACTTAACTATCAATGAAGAAAATGACCCAGTGGAGTTGGCTGCGCGAGGACAGGAGCCAAGTGCGGGTGCGCCACGCCCAGGCAGAGGCGTTGAGGGGCAGGGGGCAGCGGTCCAGATTCACTGCCACAGCTTTTACAGTCCTCCCTCAGGGACAGGACATATCCTAAGGGCTTCACACTTACTTTTTTCGGAACAATTTTTGAGTAGACAGAGGAGTAAATAGATTATCTTGCCAAAAGCCACATGACTACAATTGGTTGTATGAGAATTCAAACCCAAAGTCTAACACCAGAGATTGCCCTCTTAACTAGTACAGTGTATCAGCCTCCCTTAATAAACAAAAAGCTGATATAAGTAAGAAAGATACCTAATCTGCACCTGACCACCAACCTCTTCCTTATGTACTACCCAATTTGATTTACCACAGCTAAATAATATATACTTAAAATTAAGGCATGGAAAACCCTTTTGCTCATAACAGTATATCCACATTCTACTTACCTTCTGTATTACTGACTGTTGGCTCAGGAGTGATTCTCCCATCATGAATATTAGAGCTCTCCTCATTGGCATATATCAGATGATCATTTTCTCTATTTTCTGGCCACTGCGGTACCTCTGCTGTGTCTGTTGAGCAGCTGCATACATCTTCATTCTTGTTGAAGTATCTCTGTAGCCATCCTGGCACAATGTTCTTAACAGATTCTGTAACCCTGCTAAGAATGCCCTGTTGGAAGAACACATAAGGTAGTTTTAGAAATCTTTTATACACCATCTTTTATACACCTATTTATAGAAAGCCATACCACACAAAACAAAACTTGTTTCCAAGAAAGTTTCCTAAAATTCAGTTACTTAAGTTGATTCAAACATAATGGCATTTCACAAATTCTAGAGACATACAAAATTCCTACATTTTTCTTTCTTCCATGTACATATATCCATGAGCCAACAATTACCCCAATTGGCCATATTATTCCAGTCCTGAAAAAACTCCAATATGCTATCACAAAAGCAATATAAATTTTAGATGAAGTAATAAGATATGCACTAAAAATGTTATAATCCTGAGAAAAGGCATGCATTTTGACCCCAGCATATTAAAAGCAGCAATATAAATACCACCTTCAACAGCTTACTCAAGCAATTATTTTACTGCACATTCTTTAAGACAAAAATACGAGATCTTTTTCAAAGGGCAGCTAATCCAATATAACAAACTCAAGAAATAATCTAAGATTTTTTTATGGTAAAATTTCATTATATCAAATGTTGCATAAAATCTGAGGAATTAATTTTATAATGGGGAGAAAAAATGTAGTTTAACAACAACTGGTATTATTAACATTTACTGTAGTTTTGCTATGTGCCAGGCACTGTTCTAAGCAGTTTACCCATATTATTCACTTTAATTCTCACCATAACTTATGAACCTGTTATTAATAGTGTCACGTCAGTTACTCTGGAAAGAAAGATTAACTATCTACATCCAAGATGTAATATTTATAAAACTATACACGTAGTATTTATTATATTTACCTATTATTTATACTTAAATCTTTACTTTCAATATTTCAAGACTTGAAAGTGTTTACAAGATAAAATATAGTTTAAATAAGACTGGAAAAAAGTAAGACACATACTTGATCTGAAGTGCTAAGTTAGCTAAACCACTGTAAGAATTTAGTGTGAAATAAATCTTTTGTGGGATTCCTCTCAGGTGGTCAGCCACTAAAAGCACCACAGATTCCTGGGATCCCTACTCACCACCTAAGGAGGCAAGCCATACTGAAACTGAAGGTCACTTAGGTGGTATTGTGGCAAATGATCAGTAAACCAAATTGAACAGTCAAAATGGATAGAATAAAGCTCATTCACTAAAGCGCATGAACTTTGCTTGGAGACCTTCTCTTTCCTAAACTGAAATTGGGCCAATGCACCCGCTCTCGGCCCACAGCGGCCCAGCGCACAGAAGTCATAGCAAGAGCAGAGTCACTAGCGGCCCAGCGGGCGAGAGCAAGAAGGGCCTGACAGCCGGATGACATGCACGCGATGAAGTGGGCCTAAAGCCGGTAAGAAAAACAGCCATCCGTACGTATACTTCAGTATTCCTCTAGAGGGTAAATGACCCTAGAACTTTTCATCAAGAAAAGTTAAATTAAGCTCAGGATACTGCAACACAGTGGATCCCAAAGTGTGGGCCTTTTATCAGCGACATGAGCTGCACCTCAAGCCTACCCGAGCCCTCCCTACCCCAGCCTCTGATACAGGTCGCTGGGCTCGCCTGTTTTAATAAACCCTCACAAATCATGTGTATGCTAACATGAGAACCACCATTCCAGTTACAGATTAGGAAATTAGATGCACTTCAGGAAATTACAATACATTTTTGGGAAAAAGTTCTTGTACAAGAGGTGAATACAATTGTCTTCAGTCCTAAGATTCAGTTACCCGGAAAACATACACATGTGGAGCACTAATCAGACAATAATTAAAGTATATCAGAATAAAATCCTCTTTTAACATGAATCAGAAAAACAAACCTTACAGTGGACTGCACTGATTACAGTGCAGCTTACAGAACTATTTCCCCAGTGTTTCCTAAACTTCAGCCATGATTTTTACTTTTATTTAATGGTTCTTTCTATCCACTCATTTCTCTTAATAAATTTATCTTTTCCTATACAATAAAATCTATCAAATTACAGATTAGGTGCTGTACTGGTGTTCACTTGCCCTTTCCTCACTTCATTCTTGATAGGCTGTCCCACCAGAATGTCTTCTGTTAGGACTGACTCAAGAGAGGCACTAGAGGATGTGAGGCAGTAGAGGACAGGAGGAAAAAGAAGCCTTCCTTCCAGTTCTGCCCCTCATCTCTAAAACCACAGCTGCAGCCAAGTGGCCCTTCCTCCACTCCAGTTACACCACTTCTTCTCTTTATCCTTCCAGTCCTGGGAATGGTAACAGCTTCTCACTACTGCTAGTGTCTGGATACTTTGCTATCCCATATTTATTCCTCTAAGCACCAGTCCTTCTGTCTGTAGACTCAAAAGATACTTCAGTGGAACCATCTGCAGTGAATTGTTGCTTGCTGGGTCCCTAACTGATACATCAGTGTTACCTGTTAAACTTTTTTTCTAATTAACATGAACATTAAAAGGTCAGTCCATGTGTCCGTTAACTCATAACTTCTTTATCAACAATGGAACACCTGTACCACACTTAGGGAAACACTCATATTACCCAAGGGTTACATCCAACAATTCCTGGGATCCCTACTCACCACCTAAGGAGGCAAGCCATACTGAAACTGAAGGTCACTTAGGTGGTATTGTGGCAAATGATCAGTAAACCAAATTGAACAGTCAAAATGGATAGAATAAAGCTCATTCACTAAAGCGCATGAACTTTGCTTGGAGATCTTCTCTTTCCTAAACTGAAATTGGGCCAATGCACCCGCTCTCGGCCCACAGCGGCCCAGCGCACAGAAGTCATAGCAAGAGCAGAGTCACTAGCGGCCCAGCGGGCGAGAGCAAGAAGGGCCTGACAGCCGGATGACATGCACGCGATGAAGTGGGCCTAAAGCCGGTAAGAAAAACAGCCATCCGTACGTATACTTCAGTATTCCTCTAGAGGGTAAATGACCCTAGAACTTTTCATCAAGAAAAGTTAAATTAAGCTCAGGATACTGCAACACAGTGGATCCCAAAGTGTGGGCCTTTTATCAGCGACATGAGCTGCACCTCAAGCCTACCCGAGCCCTCCCTACCCCAGCCTCTGATACAGGTCGCTGGGCTCGCCTGTTTTAATAAACCCTCACAAATCATGTGTATGCTAACATGAGAACCACCATTCCAGTTACAGATTAGGAAATTAGATGCACTTCAGGAAATTACAATACATTTTTGGGAAAAAGTTCTTGTACAAGAGGTGAATACAATTGTCTTCAGTCCTAAGATTCAGTTACCCGGAAAACATACACATGTGGAGCACTAATCAGACAATAATTAAAGTATATCAGAATAAAATCCTCTTTTAACATGAATCAGAAAAACAAACCTTACAGTGGACTGCACTGATTACAGTGCAGCTTACAGAACTATTTCCCCAGTGTTTCCTAAACTTCAGCCATGATTTTTACTTTTATTTAATGGTTCTTTCTATCCACTCATTTCTCTTAATAAATTTATCTTTTCCTATACAATAAAATCTATCAAATTACAGATTAGGTGCTGTACTGGTGTTCACTTGCCCTTTCCTCACTTCATTCTTGATAGGCTGTCCCACCAGAATGTCTTCTGTTAGGACTGACTCAAGAGAGGCACTAGAGGATGTGAGGCAGTAGAGGACAGGAGGAAAAAGAAGCCTTCCTTCCAGTTCTGCCCCTCATCTCTAAAACCACAGCTGCAGCCAAGTGGCCCTTCCTCCACTCCAGTTACACCACTTCTTCTCTTTATCCTTCCAGTCCTGGGAATGGTAACAGCTTCTCACTACTGCTAGTGTCTGGATACTTTGCTATCCCATATTTATTCCTCTAAGCACCAGTCCTTCTGTCTGTAGACTCAAAAGATACTTCAGTGGAACCATCTGCAGTGAACTGTTGCTTGCTGGGTCCCTAACTGATACATCAGTGTTACCTGTTAAACTTTTTTTCTAATTAACATGAACATTAAAAGGTCAGTCCATGTGTCCGTTAACTCATAACTTCTTTATCAACAATGGAACACCTGTACCACACTTAGGGAAACACTCATATTACCCAAGGGTTACATCCAACCTTTATCTCTGAAAAACAGTACATAAATGGACAAAAAAGAGGCTTTATTCTGGTGAATATTTTAGAATCTTATCTCACAGAGGTAAAGGCAGGCATTGCTTTTCTCACTGAATTCATCCAATCAACACTTATTGACGGTACAGTGTATGTCAAGCAAGGAACAATGAGGAGACAACAGTGAACAAGTTCCTACCCTCTTGGAGCTTATATTCCAAGTGAGGGAGTCAAGCAAACAAGTGAATACAGTATGTAACACATAATACAGTGAGTCAGTGCTATGGGAAAAAATAAAGCAGGGAAGTAAAATGGGAGAGGTATTTTATGTAAACAGAGACTTGAAAAAAGTGAGGAATGAGCCATGCAAATTTCTAATGCAAAAGAATTAGAAACTGAGGGAACAAGAAGTGCAAAGACTCAAATATCCAAGTGTCCTTGGCACATGCTGTCCAAGTTCTGGTGACCTTATTAATAAATACAAAAATCTAATAAATCTAGTAAAAGCTACTAAAATTATAGATACACATTATATATCTAGTCACTATAAAAGGACTAAAACAGTGATTCACAAATTGGAGTCTTCAAATCAGCAGCACTGGTGTCACCTAAGAGCACGTTAGAAATGCAAATTTGTTTTAACAAGCTCATGAGTTTATTCTTACACAAATTAAAGCTGGAAAACCACTGTACCAAACCATCTAAAAATAGGACATTTTCCCAATTCCGACCATAGTAAACAACCCTACCTATAAGCTTAACTCTCACAAAGTTTTACCTAAAAGACCATCCTATTTCCATGATTATCTCATTATCCATCAAATACATCATACCATTCTACCAATTTTTATAAATACCAACTTTGTAATATAAACTCTGAAAATCAAACCAGCAGTAAACATAAAAGCCTACCTCTGAGTCTATTTTATCTCCAGTATTAAAGACTTAACGCTTAT